CGATCACCCTATAGCAACGTTGTCTTATAGCTAGGATAAGTATTATATATTGAACATAATTGATAAGATCCAAATTATAAAAAAAATACAAAAGATATAAACACTTACTCTGGCACTCTCAAAGATGAATTCAATATCGTTGGATTCTTTAGATGTATACTTCTACTTGTCAAATATCTGATGGCATGAACAGCATGGATCTCATATGCAGGAGCCATAGATAGTATGAAAAATGGTCAAGAGGAGAATGAACTTAATGTGATTAATTATAGGAGTAAGTCAAATGTGAAGGTGTGAAATGTACTCTTAACCTAACTTAATAATTTATAATTGAATAATGCTAATGTGGGAAGAAAAATTAAGAGGTATTTTTTTCAAAAATTGAGATGATAGATATTAAATATTCACTTTTATGTGTATAGATGTTTAAGGAATTTGAATCTCACCAAACTTAATATATGAATTTAACATATCAAACAACTTGGTTGCACAATCCAACTTATATAAATATGGGGAAAATTAATGTATGAATTTAACATAATGAGATCTAAATAATTAAATAGATTAATATCTATACTTTATTATATTTATAAATTTTGAAGTTCAAGAAGATAGATTTAAATAGTAAAACACATATTCTTTTTTCTAAATATTTAAACAAATATATATTAATTTAAATTTAAATCCCAACGTGTGTGTACTCAAAATTATGAACCTAGATTTTTGCTTAAATAATTTGGATCTTATTATGTTAATTTGCATATATTAATTTTTATCACGTTTATAATTTTTAAAATTCATGAGGATAGATTTAAATAGTAAAACACATATTATTTTTTAAAAAATATTTAAGTAGATATATATTAATTTAAATTTGAATCTCAATATATATTTCTATATATATACACACAAAATTATAAATCTTGATTTTCACCTTATATTTAGGTTAGATGGAATTATTAAATAGATAGATATTAAATTAAATTTAAATATAATCAGATTTGAATTTTAAATAGGTAAAAATAGATTTTTATATACATCTAAAAATTAATAATTCATCCCACATCTAATTGCAAACCTAAATAATATATTTTAAATTTCTCAAAAAAAAAATCATCCCGAACATAACCCTAAACTTGACTCTGAAGCACAAAATCATATGAAAGACATCTCGAAGTATAAATTATAGCAAACCTAAAAATGAACACGTGGTATTCTTTTATAACTTTAAACCATACTTTTATATATAATGATTAGTGTGTTCGCTAATTCTGACCCTGACGCTCATCCATAATGAATTCATCTTGAATTACCCTCTTCATAACTCTATCAAAAAGACTAGAGATCTATTATTGCAGGACTATATCATTACTTTTAATCATGTTTAGAGAATCTAAAAGCTATGTTAACCAACTTGCTCGTCGTGCTAATCATGAGACGTCCAATACAATGATTTCACGCGATCTATTTCTTAGATGCAAGACCTCTATGAGTTTTAATATAATCTAGTTTTTTTTGGCATGATACACCAGAGCAATCATTTGTGTTCCTAGGATTTTGATAATAAATATGATGTCAAGTATTGCATGTTATTCATGGCAATGCAACCAAAATAGAAGTGCAACAGCAACTATTGATTGCTTCTCATGTGACGTGATTTAGAATTTATGATTTCCTCTTGATGATGATTAGAATGTAGAATCTATTTTTGAAGAATAATCAGAGAAGGATGAAGATATTCGCTGTGTTTTACCAATCTTTGATGATAATTCAAACGATAAACAATATCCCCATTATCACTTATTACTTTGTGATAGAAATGAACAATACGTCATTCTCGAAGATTCTATATTGACATAAGAAGGTTTTCCTTGTAACCCAACTCCTTTTGATTTTATTTATAAGTCACTTCTAAACTATATTTCATATAGATAAAAAAAAACTTCTAAAACTCATTGACTTGCTCTAAAAATTTAATAACTTCTCAATTTTACCCCATTAGATATGCATGTTTTGACGTCATATTTTTTCTATCTAACATTCAATAAATGCCAAATAAGAAGTTGATAAGGTGACTTATAAACATAATAAAAAAAAAATTCTTTCTACCTTATAAATAAGACCCAAAAAAATATACATCTTTTGAACGTATATCTAACATAGATAATATTAAGAATTGCTAGAGAACAAACAAATTCTAAAGAGAGATTAATTAGAACTTCTATAATAAATGGAAAAATCAATAAAAAAAATCATTTTTAATTTATCATAACTAATGCGTTTCAACTTTCAAGAATAAATGCTATCCTTTTCTCTGATAGCGAAAACTATGTTGTGGTATCCATTTTATGAGAGCTGCTGAGCTACAGTTTAAGAGTGGGGAAAGAGATCACGTGAGGCTGATGTGAAACATCTATGCATCTAGCTACTGGTTTTCTTTGTCTTCTTTTTATCAAACACCACCTTTTACTTTGTATGCATGATAGTAATTGTGTGGTAATGGTGTAACCCTCTTTTTAACTTTCACACTGCAATTTGCAAAAGGCACGTTCTATGGTAGCCCGCAAGTTTATAGAGCAAGGGAGGCATGATCATGCTATATACATGCATTTCTCTAATCGTTACCCATTAAACATTATTTGTTCAGCAAGCATTTTTTTAAATTACGATGGCCAAATTAGCCTTATGACTTCTTAATATAAATACGCCACAAGTTAATTCGGATCAATTGATCGATGATATTCGGCTTTTCTTTTGATTCCTTGCAGAGTTGCAGTGGCCTGCTGAGTACATCTATTTATTAGCATGTGTATTTAACAGTTCTACAAGGAACATTTACAAGTGCCAGGTCTAGTTTTAACAACCAAGCAAGGAAAGTACACTTGGACCATGAAAATTTACGAGTTCTCGTTCCAGTACTCAATAATTGGACTTGGACATTCAATTTTGCAAGTTGCCCTGAGTATTAATTAACCTCACAAAGAACCAAGCTCAAAAAAACACGGGGAAAAAATCATAACCCACGACAAAATCCACCGAAAATACTATGGAACATGGAGAGAGGCATCGGGCATATACTCATTCAAGAAACAAGGACAAATCTCTACTGCTGATCAGCAAGCACCGATGAGGAAAAAGACGGAAGAATAGATTGCGTCTCACGTCTTTCGGCCAAAATAGGCTCGGATCTCATTTATTGGTCCAGGGGATAATGGGCGATTTCAAGTTTTTTCCAAAAAAAAGAAGAAGCAGAGAATGGCTGGGTCCTTTAAAATGATTTCATGAATTTATGGCTTTTCTTAATAATTACTACCCCGATCCTTAATATAAAATAAAGTTAACAAACTTTACACTTACTAAAAAATGTTAGTTATAAATTTGAAATTGTAAAAAAAAAAAAAACAATTATAACCTTTTAACTTTACCTTTTTATAATTAATTATTGTAATAATGATGTTTAGAAATTCAAATGACGGTAAATAAATAAGTAGTAAATTTGAAAAAAAAACATTAATTATTCTAACTTAACTTGAATGTAATTTTCCCCGTATGTAAGGTCAAATACCGTTCACTACTCCCTCGTATCGTAATTTAAAACTTATTAGGATGTCGCCAAACAAGTGCTATTGACTTCCCTTTTTTGATAGACCTTATACACTCTTAATAATTAACGACAACGATACATTAAAATTTTAAAGTTACAAATACTCCTTCTTGATCCTGTTTGTAAATTAAATCACTTCTAACATTCTTTATTAAAAATAAAAAAATTTAAATTTTATTAACTTTGTCTTAAAATTTAACAAGTTATCATCTTTGTCTTTAATAAATATTTTTAAATTTCATTGATGATATATTTAAAGTATTTAATAAAGACAAAAATATAAAGAGGAGCATTAGAAATTACCAAGTACCCTACATATACAATCATTTTTTTTCTTTTTTTCTCTATCCTATATATGGGGCTAGAGGAGTATTTAAAAAATAAAGAAATTAACTCCAAAATGGCAATTTTTTTTTCAACAGGACACGATTTTTTTTTTTAGGGGTAGAAGGGGGAGTTATAGACAATTAAAGCATACGTAACAACCAAAGGCCAGAGTATTTTATTAAGATTTCAATTAGGAGTGAACATAAGCTAAATTAAATTAGGCTTTAACTAGATAGGCCTAAGCCTATGTAATAAATTAAAGGCTTAAGTGCATATAAGGCTTTTTTTTATGGCTTAAGCCTGAATTTACTTAAAGCCTAATTTAATTTGAAAGTCTACTTAAAAGTAAAGCCTTTAAATATGCTTATATTTTAGTTTTAAACGTCTTAAATGTATTTTAGGATTATTATATTATATAATATATAACTTAATTTATCAATTACAATATATAAGAATTAAAAGGATTTACTAACTGCAATATAATATAACAATAAAATGACAACATTAAAATTAATATTTAAGTCAAATATGATTAAAAATATAACTAAAAGTAGTAAAAAATAAATTGATTAAAACTTATATGGTGAAATTGACGTGTTTATGACATAGTACATAATATATATAGGTTGGCCTGTTGGACTTATAGGTTAGGCTTTAAAAAAAATAAACCTAACCTATTTAATTAAATAAAATTAATTAAAAGTTTAAATTTATTTAATAAGTAAATTAGGTTAAGTTTAAAATAGACAAGCTCTCCGCACATGATTTATTCTCATCTCTAATTCCAACTGTGTGCACACAGAAATTTCATTTCCATCCAATCACTCCCTCATATCCGTGCTGGTCTTGAAAGCATCCGTACGTGCAATAGTAACAGTTGTCACTTGGTGCAAAATCCGGTTGCCATCAAATCCCCGCAGTAGATTCCGATATCTTTCGCTTTTTCCGTCCTCGAATGATCGTTTCCCCCCCTTATTTTCTGCTATTTGTTTCCTCTTTCCCCTCTTTTGCTATATATATCCGAACCTTCCATGTCTACCTCTACTTCCTCTTCTCTTCCCATCTCATGCCTCGCCTGCTTCTTCCTAGATCTTGAGGTTTTCCTGTCTTCTCCTCTAGAAGCTGGCCTTTGGCTGTTTGTTTAATTTCTCCCTTGGAAATCTTCCAAAAGAATAGTGTCAAATCCTGAATCTCTCTCTCTCTCTCTCTCTCTGCTTCTTGCTTTGATCCTCATTATCTGGTTTTGTAATGTTTGACATTCATGTCTCCAGTCATTAGTGAAATCCTCCGTTCGGGGATTATCGTAGACTCCTCCCTTAGGCGCATGAGCCACCTGGTTCAGTCTTTCTCCGTCGTCTTCCTCCACTGGTTCTATGTCTTCTCATGAACCGCTTACCGTTGCCATGTATTACCGTACTAAAGTATATATAACCTCATATTGTTAAGCTTTCAGAGTTATCTTTGTGTACTTTGTTTTGCAAGTTAAATTATCTCGCAGAATTGGAGAAGCAGCACGTACGTCGTCCGGTGTAATTAAGCAGTCGAAAACATGATGGGCTCGCGGAGCGGGAATTCGTTCTGGTCCTACACCAGATTCCAGAATTTAGGATCTGAAGAGGAGTTGCAGGTTGAGATGTTAGAAAGAAAGAGGAAGAGGATGGAAGCGAATAGGGAATCGGCGAGGCGATCCCGGATGCGAAAACAGAAGCACCTGAACGATGTGGCGGCACAAGTGGCGACGCTGCGAAAGGAAAACAGCGAGCTCGTCGCCAGCATAAACATGGCAACGCACCTGTTTCAGAATGTGGAGGCGGAGAATAGCATTCTGAGGGCGCAGATGGCTGAACTTACCCAGACGCTTCGATATCTGAATCATATCATCGACCTGGTCAGCACGAGAACAAGAAGCACAAGCGAGGCATTGAATTTCGCGTTGTGCCATAATCAACACATAATGGCTTGTGCAGACATGTTTCAGTGGTGAAAATATGTGCATCGTGGGGTTCAAGTGTGGCTGTGGGGTTTTGTTATGGGGCTTTATCTGTAATTTTTCTTCTTTTCAGGTCCTTCGTTGTTTATAATTAGCTAAAGGGTGCGAGGGATGGCAAGCAAGCACGACATCACAGTCACTGGTGTTTCAGAAGAAGAAAAGGGTTGTGAGTGCATAAATTTAAATATATATACACACGATGCGTCGCTGGCTGGATCACAAGTCATGAACTTTGCTAATCTCTATCTGGTCTATGTATATGTAAATATATATTGTCTTGGCCTTTTCAATGTAAATTACCTTCCCGGATGTGTGTCTGGATGTTTTCGTGAGGGAAAAGAACAACTGCTTTGATGGTTAATCTATTGTAACCCTTTTGTACTTCAAGGCCTTGGCTTGCCTTTTCTAAGGGAGAAAAATGTAAATTACTTGGCTTATTTAGTGTAATTTTCTCATGAAAAGAATATTAATATTACGCTACGAGAGCAAATTTTGACTTTTGTGACCTTTGAATAATGTGTGCATGTTTAATTAATTAATACACAAAAAATATCAAATATAAAACTAATAAAATATTTATTTCATCCGATCAAAAAAAAAATTTATTTCGAAATAGATAAGGAGAACTGATATTTATTCTTAGATGACGCTAAAGCAATAATAAACATGAATATATATAAAAAAAGTGGTTCGCATGTGAAAATGCACTTTTCTAAGCTCTATTATATTTTTGATGTGGCTCTAAGCTCTAATTTATGCCCCCTCCCTCAACACCTGCCCCATTCAAACGTAATTAATGTTTTCTTTTATTACTCGAAACTCCAGTATGTTGTATATATGTGCGTGTGTATACACGCACATAGAGTAAGTTAGAAAATATCAATAGTTATATAAGTTATTAAATTTGTTAGAAGGGAGACAATGACAAATCTTTAAATTTTTTCCCTCTTAACTTTGTTCACCTCTGAGAAGAATAAGATTTCATTCGTTACCAAGAATAGCACACACACAGATTTAGATTCTCTCTGTATCCTTTCTCAGTACTCAATCTCATCCATTTATTTAATTATTTAATTAATTTAATGATTTCATATTGTTAACTATGACAGTAAAATAAATAAATTATTTACTATTATCTCTTAAATGCTTTTAAAAAAATTATAATGCTTATTTATGATCATCATTAAATAAATAGTATATTTATTTTAATGTTATAATCAATAATATGTCACCAAATGAATAATTAAATGGATGTATATGATTGGTTGTTGAGAAATGTACTCTGAGAGAGAGAGAGAGAGAGAGAGAGAGAGAGAGAGAGAGAGAGAGAGAGAGAGAGAGAGAGAGAGAGAGAGAGAGAGAGAGAGAATCCTGATCCGTATACACACTACATTAAAAGTGATGTTTTCAGTGGTTTTTTTTTTTCACTGTAAAAAAATGACTTTGAGATTATTTAAAATAATTAGGTTTATCTTTTGTGTTGACTTGAAAGTCTTAAGCTTATGCATGGACGAAATTTTTTAGAACTTTGACTATTAAAGCTGAATAAAAGTTGCTTGAATATTACGTTCATGAATGGTTGATTCGTTCTCGAGGTGCCAGAATTCTTTTTTTTTTTTAATTCATTTCTCCGCACCTGATCTACATGATAAATATGGTATATATACTGATCGGACTGTGTTTCGCCTCAAATAAAGTTTTCTTAAACAATTCTAGTTATCATTACCATTGAGACAAGGGTAGGGCACAGGTGACCACGAAAAGCTAAAAGCTAACAAACACGGAATATAAAATAAGCACATAGCCTGAGACTTGGGAAAATAACAAAATCAAAGGGACAACCAATAATGGACCTTTGAATGAAATCAAATATGATGAAATCATGATTTGGATCTTTCTCCTTAATTCCATGTTGGGTGCGATAATCATTGGAACAACCTACAAAATATGATGGCTAGTTTTGCAATTATTTGTAAGATTATTGAGATGGGGTTCCTTCTTAAAAATGAGCGAGCATAAAGATGAGAAATTCAGGAATAATTACAATCATAACGGGTAGTTGATAAGGCATTAGAAAAAAAAAATATCATAGATTATCGATTAAATAGTAAAAAACAATTTAAGCTTTTGTGCATCAATTTGTCATTACTGAGGTACTGCAAAATTAGTTTTTTGAATTTGAATTTCTACGTAAAGCAAGAAAAAGCTCCCGTCCAAAACAGACAAAACACCGGGGCCCGCAGTTCCATTGGAGTCGAATGAAATGGGCCGGCCCATTTTTGTAGCATCGTCCTCCAGCATATCTCCCCCGGATCTAGAAGGTGAAATTAAAAAAATGAAAATAACAGAAGTTGTGTTTAATATGAGAAACATAATGAATCAAATTTTGAATCTTTATTAAAATATATGTTCACATTTAATATTCAACAGTAACTCTAACGTGATTGTCTTCGGTAAAATTGAATCAATGACACAGACATCAGTATTAATGCATAGTTTAGCAATCTATTTGAAATTAAATTAAAATTTAAATAATAGTTGGATTGATGAAATAGGCATAGTGGAATTCAAAGAAAATGTTGTATAAGTAGATTGCATTTACAATTTCACGTCTAATTAAAACTTGTCTTACACTTGACGCTGCTTCTTCATCTTAAAAAAAAAATCTGACAAATTTTGTAACTTCAACAGGGCATTCAAACGCAGGTAATTCCGACTCGCCTACTAAATTAATCAATTCTGCTGCATTTCTCCTTCCGTGCTGCTGTATTAATTTTTTTCCCCAGCTACATCTAACATAATTATTATATTTTTTATATAAACAATGAATTGTTAATATTCAATCAAAGAGTCAAATAATGAATAGAATACGAAGTAAAAAAGAAAAAAGATTGACGTTTCATGGTAGAGAAACTGATTATTGGATGGAAGAGAGACAAGTGAAGTCCAGGTCCAAATGATGATGGATAGATAGATAAGCCATGAGCTCATGGTGCGCACTCTACGTGGCGCAAAATATAGCAGCCATTACTCCTTCTCTCGCTCCTCGTTCTGTTTTTCAAGTCTTAGTGCCTTATCTACTTGTAAATTACTCTACAATGTTACTCCTCACTTTTTTCGCAATAAATAAATAAAATCTCAGAAAAATCTAAAAGAAAAGGAAAAAAAGGGCCGAGGACGACTGAAAATGAAAAACGAAGACCCGGAGGAGAAAAAGAGGAGCAGACAAGCCGAGAAGCAGAGGCGGACGTCACACTCATAAGGGGTGCACCATTTCCATGGACTCTTCTCATACATGAACTTCGCTTGACGGAGTCACAACGCTAACGATTTCTGCTCCAGCGACCTCTAAACGGACTCCACGTTATATGGCTACCGTCACTTTCTCCGCCTGTTAGCTCCTTCGCGCTGCGCATGACCACCGAGAATTCGAACCTCAAATCGACGACTTCGCGGCCTTTTCTTCCTCAACTTATTACTTTGAAATTTCACGATGTAAGATTGGCTCTGCTTTTCCATTTGTCAAGCATTTTCGATCTATTTCTGGTATTTCTGTGATTCACGTCCTTGCCGAGGACTGGGCGTCGGGATTTTTCCAAACCCTAAGCCGTTTTTTTTATGCAAAAGTACTGTTTCATTTTGGGAGTTGAGAGTCGATTTTGGCTGTTTTTGCTTCACAGACATGGGATTTGGGATATCAGTCTTTCTTGGGGTTCTTTTAATCACTGGAGTATTGGCTTTTGAGTACAGAGGCTCTCGTGTTTCCTTGTTTTTTTTCCTTTGGTGGGTTCTGAGTACCGGTTGTTGATGCTATTTCTCTTTTCCTCTTCTATTTGTTTGTTTGTTTGTTTTTTTTTTTTATTTGTGCGCGCGCGCCCCCAGTCATTGGTGGCTGTGAGTTTTGCTACTTGTGGAGGAATTTTGCTGCTTGTGGAGGAACATGTTTAATGGCCGTCATTATTTTGCCTTACTCTGCTGTGCCTTTCCATTGTTACTCATCAGCCTTATATCTTCTGCGTTTTAATTGGGCTGGGCGGGTTGTAAGTTCTTGTTTGAGACATGATTTATGCATGGCACCTGGTTGTGGCCGATCAATATTAATGAGTGATGCCAGAACGGTTGTGCCATGTTTCTGTTCTCTCATTTTCACGTGCTTTATGTCCATGATTGAGCTTGTTTCTCTTGGAGACTCTCTGTAGTTAAGACTTCAAGTTTTGTCCAAGCCCCTTTTGTTAAGAGCCCTGCATGATTTCCATGTTAGTGGGCACAACAGAGAAATACAGATGTTGCAGACTATGGTGCACGACTTCCATGTTAGTGCGACGTGTGAGAAATTTTAACGTGAGCAGAGGACACATGGATATTGAACAATGGAGGCTATAATTCTTTCAAGGAATGATATGAATTTTCAGGGAGAATATATAGTCTCAGGCATGTATCTTCATATGTCATGGTGTGTCTTTGTCTATATGCTCCTTGCATTTTGTTGTGAGTTTGCTTATTTGGAAGTTCTGTATTCTAAATGACATGAAATTGTAACACATTCGCTTAAAGAATGACATGTTTGCTCGTAGATACCCATACCCCACCGTGTCCTGATATATTGGAACCTATCAGTCAAACTACTCCTAAACAAACTGAATACAAGTTATTCAAGATAATGAAGACTGAAAATTTTAATTGCTAATGGATATTCAATGCAAATCAGAGTTTTTCCTTATATTATGATAGGCCTTGTGTGCCTCTCATTGCACTAAATGTTGTTAGTAGGTTCTGTGGGCAAAGCTTTGGTCTTTGGGTTGTGTTTATGTTTGACACATGTTATCATCAAATATAAAATGTCAAAGTAACCCACTCTTCTTGTTTCTTCTCAGGAGGAAATAGTTCTGCAATTTGCTAGTGGGAAATTGAGGAGGCTTTCAGATTTTTTTGTGTAATTTTTCTGGTACGTATTTACCCATGTTTCTCTGTCCAGCATTGAATTAATTTGTCCTTCCTGTCCAGAAGTTACTTGTGTTGATTTTTTTTTGTTTTTTGATAAAATAGTTACATTGAGTTTTGTCATGTCAGCTTTTATCATGGGATCAGCTTGTTGCGTGGCTGCAAAGGACCATACTCTTCCCAACAGATCTGGAGTTGAAAGTTTGCATAGGAATGATGTTTATTCACCATCATGGAGTTTCCGATGGGATAGACGGGGACGTGTTGCTGGTGAAACTCAGAATCAATTTTATCACTCATCTGATGGAGTCAGCAGAAACATTAGCATGGAGTTAAAAGGGTCTTTAAGTTCTGAAAGAGGCAATTTATCTGATGGGGGAAGCACAGTGGAGAATTCTGTTACTCCTATTTCTCAGAAGTCTCCAATCCATGAGACATCAGTTGCTAATCCAATGACTCCATCTTCAGGTAAATGTTACTATGTTAGTGTTATATTTCTTGTTACCTGCACAAGCCCATTGTATGAGGCGTCATAGTTAGCACGTACCGGTGGCCCTTGTTTTTGAAAGTTGAACTTTTAAAGTTGTCCTTACTTTTGGTCACTTCATTTTACAGAAAACTCAATAAAAGGGCTGTCTCCTTTTTGTGGACTTCTTAAATGGAGCAAGTATCTATGAAATTGAAGGCTATCTCAGCTGTTACCATTACACTATAGTTTATTGACTGGATCTAAAAACTGAACATGTTCTAGCTTATCTTTTAAGCTGGTATACTTTTTCCCTTTTCACTGTGGAGTATCTAACCTACATTTTCTGGATGGTTCATCTGAAGATTATTGCCTCATCATTTGTGCCATCTCATTTCTATAGACTAGTGCAATTTACAACCATGATGTTTTATAAGATCCCTTTATGTTGAAAAGTATATTTTAAATCTGGGTAAATTACTTTGACAATTATCATATTCTTAAATGTCTAGTTCACTTGCACAAGGTTTCCTTTTTCTATCTGATGGAGTCTAAATTGTATAGGAGCCTAAAAGAACACTTTTGGAAGTTGTTGAGCGCGATCTCTTAATTAATAATATTCCTAAAAGCTTGATAAATGATAGAGCACAATGGCGTCTTGCAATTCATGTAGCCGACCCCACCTAGTGGGATAAAGGCTTGTTGTTGTTGTTTGTTGTTGGAGTCTAAATTGTATAGGTGTTTTTGGTTTAGCTCTTCTCTCTGAAGCCAACTGTGGGGCTGTTTCTGTTCTACTCAACCTTAGCATTTGGACTTTCTTTTGCTATTTCACCCTTTAAATGATCAGGGGGCAGGGGCGGGAAAGTTAGTCTACGAGTGTCTAGGTCATCAGTGTGCCCCTCAGGGCTCTCTCACATGGATGTATGGTCATAGAGAAAGACAGGGACTGCCGAATTTGACAATCTATCTACAAGTTTTAAAAACTTTTTGGTCAAGCAATCTGTTGTTAGACGCTGCTCCATTCTTTAGCTTTATGTGTAGGATTTTCTGTTGATTCATAGGATATTTTTGTTTCACAGCAATCTTCTTGTAATATATAGTCAAACATACACTGCTTTGATCTCACTCTCCTAATACTATTTCTCATCTAGAATAAAGGTTTATCAATTAAGTTATCACTTAATTGCTTGAATGTTGCGGGAAACCTCTTGGCATTTCATCTATTCAGGCATTGATTTTTCTTTTTTCTTCCTGTGGGTCATTGCAGATCTGTCCATGGCTAGCAATTATTCTACAATGGTGAGTTTTTTATGCACTGAATTTGATTTGGGAGCTTTAGAGTTTATAATCCGTATTTTGAGCCTATTCCCATGGTACTGTGCTCTATCTGAAGTTCCTTATTTCATCTTTAGGTGAAGAATGTGGCATCATCTGAAGTTGCTGAATCTTCTGTACTAAACATCCCGTTTTCAATGCCTTTGGGTTTCTCAACACCACCAACAGATCCTTTGCCTAATCATAATTATCACCATCTTCCCAATTCTACACCATCAAGATGGACTCGTCAATCTCCAGGACACCCACTGTTGAGACAGATTTCTGATAGTAGGATCTTAGGATTGAAATCACCGGACAACTCAATTTCTGAGGGAAGACCATCTTTTGTGTTCTCTACTTGCAGCAATGACATAGCTGGATCCCAATGTGGATCATCTGATGGCTGGTCCATGCGAACCTTTTCTGAGCTCGTGGCCTCATCTCAGAGGGAAAGGTGGTCCTTTGATAGTGAGTACTTTGGTTCAGGTCGTCACAAGATAAGTGGATCTAGTAGTAGGTTCTCAGATTCTCCCTCAATGGATCTGCAGTCTTGTGGGGCTTGCTCAAAGCTATTGTCTGAGAGATCTGCATGGAGCAACCAGAAACTGATTGCCAGCAGCGACCTCTCAGCCGTTGCTGTACTGGTTTGTGGTCACGTATATCATGCCGACTGCTTAGAAACTATGACATCAGAGGCAGATAGGTATGATCCAGCTTGTCCTGTATGTGTGGTTGGGGAGAAGCACATGTCAAAGTTTTCAAGGAAAGTTCTTCGTGCTGAATCAGAGATGAGGGCTAAAAACAGCAGGATATCCAAGAACCGGGTAGTTGACAGCTATCTTGATGGTGGATGTGATGTTTTTGATAGGCGAAAAGACTCTGAATGGGGAGGGGAAACTCCGAAGATGGAGCCTAACTCCAGTGCACGGACCTCGTTGGGGAAGCCCTTTTTGAGGCGTCACTTTTCACTCGGTTCCAAGTGGACCCGATCCCTGTCGGAGAATGATTGTGTCAGGAAGAAGGGCTTCTGGGCAAGATATCGTAGAGATTGAATTTCGCTCTCTCCAAGTAATTATAGTAGAAACACCAGCAATTTAGAATGAATTAATATTTTCTGTGTCGTCTGGCCTTGCCAATAATTTTAGATTGTTTAAAACTATTTTTGGTGATACCTCAGAAATTCTTGCCTGGATGAATATATTGGCGTAACGGAGAGTCCCACGGGAAGTGGGACACTAAACAGACCAGCGGTTGGGGCACACGGAAGCAATATTCGTCTGTTTCGATGAAGACGCGCTTTGCTTTGCTTGTTCGTCCGTGGATACGGTGCTACGCAAACTCTAATTTGTCTATCTCCCTGATTCTAGTCAGTTATATGAACAATCATCTTAGTATTAATGAGTTTCAAAATATCTTAGAAGATGGTGCTTGTTCTTTGCTGTCTCTCTTACATATCGTATTTAGCTCAGAGGTAGACAGCCGTTCGTAAATTAACAGGATAAAGGGTTAAGGTAACAAAAAAAAAAAAAAAGAAAACAGATTGCTTCATGACTCAGGATGCTATTTGTGGAATTTGTATAACTGAATGTGAAGGCCTAAATCATATCATCAGATGTTTCGCTTTACTCGTACTTGCTGGTTTCCCATCACTCCAGAAAACTCTGCTTCTAACTTCTCAAATGGTTATCTGACTAAATGGCCGACCAACGATCTCTATCCGAGTTGCAGAAGCGTAGTTTGGAGGTAACTTTTGGTTTATTATATGATGGGAACTACGGCATATCATTTTATTCAAGGATTGGTTAATGAAGTTTTAGCTCCGGCACAACACGCGAAGGGCTAACGAATTAACCAACCTCTTGAATCATAGAGCAAACAACTAGTTCTCTAATCTTATTTTTCGCATAGATGCCTTGCCAGCCTGGTAATGCCTTTTTGTAGTTCATTTGAGTAATGAAATCACACTTTTGACTCAGAAGGAAAAAAATGAAATGAAAAAAGAAATTTGACTAGCGAATAGTAATTAAGATCTAGATTGTAAGCAAGGGGTGTCCATCTTGTCAAGTATGCTCTGCAATCCTGTTCTAAAATCAGGGTAAAGCAGGCGCACCCCCAGTTCGTCCTTCATTCGAGCATTAGACACTCGCTTCTCACCCCTCATGTCTGTCGGTTTTACATCTGACCACTCCACCTCCTGGGCTTCTTGTTTGATCAGATCCGGCCACTTTTTCTCCACCAATTTTCTTGCGTATTCGAACACTTGTTCCCGAGCAGCAGGGTCGTCATCAACAATGTTGTACACTTTCCTGAAAATGAGATGCCCAAGGCTGTAATCCACAAGTTTTGACTTTTGATATGTTTCTCAGTCATCTAAATAAAACTGTACCCCACGGAGGCTACGGTGGCGGTATTATTAGCAAGCAAAGCAACATAGAATCGCAAATAGAAATTACCCTAGGGAAAGTGCGTCAGCAGCAGCCATGATCGCCTGGCAAATATCCTCAACGTGAACTCTTGATGTATATTTTCGGTATTTCCTCATCTTTTGAGCTTCAGACAACGAGTCCTGCTTCATAATGGTCTCGATGGCACTGTGACAAATAGAACTCTATTTAAGTTCAAAGACATGAAAGCACAGGAAGATGGTATGATCTACTATATCAACAATTAAACGATCGTGTTTACCAAAAACATAAAGCAACACAACAGTCATCAAGTATCATGATTTTTGTATAATTCATAACTCGTTACCTTCTACCAGGGCCATAGACACCTCCCAGCCGAAATACATATGCTGAAATGCCGAGATAGTGAGCTAAACTTGACCAACCCTCTTCAGAGGCTAACCTTAATTTTGCCAACTCACTTGTCGGGTTAGGAGGATAGCTGCCAAAGAGGATGGACACACTCAGGGCCAACAAATAGAGTAATTTCAGATACTTGAAAGCACAGTGTTTTTTTTTTTTTGTTTTGGGCACTCTCTTACTCCTCATCCACCAATTCTCCGCCACAGTCTCCATAGACGCCTGCTAAACAAAATTACTGCATTATATCAAATCTCGCAACACAAACTTATGACTGTTGAAATGTTAAAGGCAGGTGTAATTCTGAGATTTTTAGCGAAATCAACTTGGTGGGAGGGAATACAACTATGTCGCCTGTCGGGAATGTCATCATAATCTTTAATATGGTAAAAACATAATGAGGAAAATAAGGAACTAACCATGTGTATGGTTATTTCCTATCGGCTTATTTCTATCAATTTCCCTTCACGGTTGAGGCTGATATCATGTAAATGACAACGCATCTGACTTAAGCACTGCTGTAAGATTATAGGATTTCCAGTAAACAACAAGAACTAGCCAGGACCATAGTTAATGCCAGTAAGAAGGATCATTCCATAAATTGAGCCAGCACAAAAGGCCTGTTCAAAAATTTGATCTTAAGGTTGCTTGCTCAGAGCAACATTAGTATTTCTAAGTGATTCATTTTAATGCAAATTTAAAAACCACAGAGCTACCTAATGCCACAAACGATTTCTTTTTTGAAGGAAAAATAAATTGCAAAGAGTTAAATTACTGAGCATGATCATGATCCATAATATTATGCAATTTATGTGCATGAAGAAACAGAAATGAGTCGACAAATTAATAAATTCAATGAAGACATACTAGTAGAAGACAAGTAACAGAGCCACTGAAGATTCCCATTGACAAATGAACTTCTTAAAAGCCGTTCATGTTGAAGCATCTGCAACTCAGTGTAATGAAAGTAAAAGTGATATTGAAAGATTACCAAGAAAACCATTTTGGAACACTGAAACAAATAAAGAATTATATACTAATATCATACTGGATCACCGAGGCCAACGATTGGAGGGATGGAAACAAGAAGGTGAGTGTAATGCTTGATATGATCTAGGATGCTAAGTCTGCAAAAACAACTGAGATATTCTCAGTATATTTGAGGGAAGGAAAAAAGAAAAGAAAAGAAAAGGAGAGATAACGATTATGTTAAAAAAAAAAAAAAACAAAGGACATCAACATGAACGGCTTATTCATCAATGAACCCTCCTAAAAAACTTAGATGACATCATTAATGGACAAAAAGTAGGTCCCAGATACCCCTCAATTTCGCTGCCTTAATCAATTATAATCCGCGAAATAGATTAAAACAAGACGAAATATAGCTTACGAACAAATTCTGAAGGCATCTGAGAAGCATAAGGCTATATACTCGTTGACTCACTCTGGCTCGAGTGCATCAAATTGGTAAATATGAAATCCCCTATCCTCAAGTTTCTTCTTCTTCATATGACTAGTGCAAGTTCCAGACACAACCCTATACAATAAGTAGTATTAACGGCAAAAAGAACTATGGCAGAGAAAGATTAAGATAAGCAAACAGATGAAGGCAAGAATTGGGAAAAGAATCACCATCCTTGGTTCTGGAGCTTGTATGAAAGCAATTGCCCAACAAAACCCATTCCTAGAATAAACATCCTCAGTTCAGATTGCGTTTCCGACACACTGCTGTGCATCGCTATTCTCGAGGAAGCAGGCAACGCTCGAGCCATCGACAAACAAGAAAATTTCGGAACACGTCCGGCTCTATATCGGAGACGGGGAGGAATCGCCGAACCTGGTATCCGATCCATTTCCATGCCAATTAGGACTCGGGGTCACCACTGTTCCCGATGTAGCACAATAACCAATTTCAACTCTAACTTGAAGGGAGGTTTAATAAAGCGATAAGATGCAAAAATATTCCAAAAATTTTTCTCCCGTGTTGCGCGGCACTCTTAATATTTTTGCGAGCATTTTTACCTGAATCTTTCAAAAAGAACATATTTTTATCCTGTCATTAAATATTAAAATATTGACGGTTGAAGTTCAGCTTGATTAAAAATTAAATAGCATATCTGTTTTCAATTTTTTTTTAAAAGCACGAGTATTTTAAACTTTTATTTAGATTTTATTTATTCTGAAGGTTTTTAAAAATAGAGCAATTTTGCCTTTCATTCTTCCTCCTCTTGCTCTTATTCTACCAAGAAGCTCCCACATTATCATAAATTGAAGTGTAAATTTGAAGTTAGAAAAAATAGATATCTAAGATTTGCGAACCTCATAAAAAGTTTTGCATTTGGCTTGACACTTTTATTTTCCAGAATTGGTCGCACAAGCCTACAACATTCTTGCTTTATCCATTAAAAGTAAATCCATTATTCTTAACTTCTCCTAAATTGCTTTCGCCCTCCCCTGACTTGCCACATACTCTCCATGTAACATTCAAGCTATTGTTTTTGTATTTGCTACCATGGTCAAGTTTGATGCTATAAATTTCTTAGAAGCATCAAAGTCAAAGTTAGAGTCCGAAAAATTGTCATAGTTAAGTGAGAGTGAAATTGTCAAATATAAAAGAAGAGAATTTTCACATAACTTAATTTATATAGATTGACTCACGAACAGTTGATTATTTTTAAATATAGGTATGGGTTTAGATAATTTGGAACTGCAGGGCAAAATTGCTCTTTTTTTAAAACTTTCGAAACAAGTAAGCTTCAAACATAAGTTTAAAATATCTAGTGCCCCTAAGGAAAAAATTTCAGGACAACTATGTCATTTAATCTTTGGTTAAACTAAACTTTAATAGTCAATGTTTTTTATATAAAATGAAGGGATAAAAATGCTCATTTTTTGAAAAGTTTAAAGCAAAAATGCTCTAAAAATAGTTTAGAGTGTGAAGCATTCTTGAAGAAAAAGTTAGACATTTTTACCTATTAATCCTTCAATAAAAGTAACAGAGCAGCTCTAATTGTAATGTTTTATTTTAATTTATTTTTCTTGTGAAGTTTTGATAAATCCGGCATATTACAATTGACAAGTGAATGTCGCCAGCGGGTAACAAGTAAATAAAAATTGATTTAAATTTAATCCCATAATAAATTATTTTTTTCAATCGTATCGATTCGCCTACTCTAATCTCTTGATGCTCAGGTTCGAGTTCATCATGCTAATCTTTTACTCCCTCCGATTTCATTTATAAAACACATTTTAAAAAATCTAACTAATTTCATTTATAAGTCATAACACAACTTTTTAAGTGAGATTTAAAAATTATTTTTGAAATTACCTCTTAAAAGGGGAAAGAAACAATATAACATTATTTTTTAAATTTATTATATAAAAACATATTTAAAATCTTTCATACTTTTATTTTTTTTTTACTTTTCTTTACATTGATATTAATAAGATTGATAAAAAAAATTTATAAAAAGAATCAGAAGAGCATTAGCTTAGCGGATTGAATATTCTGGGCGCTCCGCTTCCAGAAAGCCGAAAGCTAACTTCTGAGGTAATATTATTTTGATAATCCCTGGCAAAGGTAACTCAAGACCCAGGTCATCACCGTCAACGAGCAAGAAAAGAATCCTCTGCAGCCTCAGGAAAGTAATCGAATCGTATAACAAATCTATACAGCACACACTGAAAAATTTTCCAACATGTGGCACAAAGGCCATAAAAAGCATACAATCACCAGAACATTTTTTTTTTTGTGGAGTTTAATTCACAATTCAAGAGCTAAATATCGAAACCGGTCAATTGTGCCTCTTGGCCTTCCGCAAAATTTCCTTCAAAACCAAAGCAATCCTATGCGCCATATGCCGCTCCATGAACACCTCCTTCACTCTATCATAACCTTTCTTTCCCATGGTCAGCCTCCTCTCAACATGAGTTGCCAATTTTACGATGTTATTTGCAAGAGGCATCGCGCCTTCTTTTCCAACGGGATGCAGCAAACCGGTTGTCCCATTTACCACAATCTCCATCGTCCCCCCAGCAGCAGTGCCCTGGCATTTGTTTCCATTGAAGGAAAAAAAAAAAATTATATGATTAAGAAACCAGCACAAACACAAATGCATATAATCCCAACATGTGGTGATAACGTATAGAGTTAAGAGTCTGTAAAAAAGGTTGGCTGGTAATTGTTTTTACAGTAAGAAACAAAAAATATGCGATAACCTGTAACTATATTATTCACAACAACGTTAAAAGTAATGGGCATCAGCCATGAAAACTTGCCGCTTGTTGGTTAGTGTGCTGCACACTTAGCCCACAGATTGCAAGTTCGAATGGCAGACCCAAAAAAAAAAAAAAAAGGTAATGGGTATCACATCATAAACCAAAATCTAGTTATCATCTCATTTACAATTTGAAATTACCAATATCTGCAGAAAATAATGCAAAATTAAAATAGCATGGTCTCATATTGTGCAGTTAAGACGGTTTGTTTATGGAAGAAATATAGCACTATCTCCCTGCCATCTTCTGTATTCCTCCAACCCATGCTATGTTAAACTTTAAAAAAAATATAATTTTGAGTCCCTACATTTTGCTTGAACATTGTTATAAGTCCTTACACTTTTTTTTTTTTTTGGTGTTCTTATGTCCATTATCCTTTATAATGATTAACAACCATGTTCCTTGTGTCTATTCTCCCTTGAATTTACTTTCATCTCAATCCTTCCCTTACTCTCCATAAAAGATTTTGGCCAAATTGCATACAAATATAACCTTCAACATTTTCAGGAGTTCACCTCCCTGTACTGGAAGGCTTGACAAGCAAAAATGTCGGGATCTATAACAAAACTTGAGCAAAATACAATGATTCAAAGTTATAATGAAGAGCACATCAAACATTATATTTTGGAAAACATTTTTCTGACCAAGAAAAACCCATTTCTCCCAATATTCCCATTTCCAGTTTCTAAGTTTGGATGGAAGGAGCCCAACCAACATTATATTCTGGAAAGCATGTAAAACCCCCCCATTATATTCGCGGACAAAAGTTCATGAGATTCTGGTCAAACTGAAATCCCTTCTACATTCTGAATTGACTATGTTTTCAAGTCTAATTGTGTTGAAGTTTTGAGATTTGATTGGAATATATAGTGAAATTGTAGTAGGAGCTCTTTTCAAGAAAAAAAAAATGGGTTTTTTTTTTGGGGGGGTTGGGGTGGGATGAAAGTGCGGAAATGGGGAGATGTTCATTAATCCTCAAATGGCACCTAACATCCGTGGTAGATTGCACCAAACTGTGTGTAGAGGGGGTGCTACTTGTCAAGCTTTTCAGTACAAGGAGTAAACTGCTGAAAAACCTGTGTTGAAGGGTTATACTTGTATGCAACTTGGCCAAAACCTTTTATGGAGAGTAAGGGGAGGATTGAATGAAAGTAAATTCAAGGGAGGATTGACATAAGGACCATGGTAATTGATCATTATACAGGACAATGGATTTTTAAAATTACTAAGAAGGACTAAAGTTTTAAAAAAGAAATAAATGGATGAAAACGCCCTTATACAGTTGACATATTGCTTAGTTGCAAATACAGGAGGATGAGTTGCAAATTGCAAAAAGTTAGTTGCAAATATAGGAAGATAAGTTGCAAATGAGTTATAAATTTTGAAAGTCATTAAAGTCCTGGAAGCTCAATTACAAATGTTGTAAGTTCAGTTGTAAATAATGGAAGATTAGTTGCAAATCAGTTTTAAATTAAACTTCTAGGATTTCTAGAACTTCCTCAATTTACAAATAATTTGCAAATCATTTTCCCCATTTACAACGAACTTGCAACATTTGCAGCCAAACTTCCAGAATTTAGAAAGTTTCCACAATTTATAACTCATATGCAAGTGATCTTTCTACATTTGCAACTGGCTTCCACAATTTGCAACTCATTTTCAGCCATTTGCAAGTGAGCTCACCTCAATCACGTATGTGCATTTGCATCCATTCATTCTTCCTAAATTTAACTTAAGCAATGTATTCCTAAGTGACATTTTTCTCACATGCCTTTTACCAAACAAATCTACTCATTTCTAGCAAAGTGCTAAATTAATTCTGGTTTCATGATAAACGCACATTTTATAGTTAAATAGGTATTAATTTTGATTTATATTTGATTAAATTTATTAAGATTTCATATCTATTTAATTAATATTTATATATTTTCCTCTTAGCACTTAATTATAGGATAAGAAAGAATTTCGCTATAAAATCTATTCATATCATTCTTTCTTTATATTGTGGAGAAAAAGTATAAAACAAACAAAAAGAGAGAAGAAAAGAAAATAAGCTTTAATATTATATATATATATATATATATATTATAAAAGGGGAATAGGAGCTGCATCAGGAGAATTGAATAATTGAAGAGAAAATAAAATAAAACAAAGAAAAAATGCAGGTCAAGCAGCATTGGATCACACACACATATATACTCTCTCTAGTCCTATTTATAGGGCAGAAAGAGAAGATTTTATTTTTGATCTTATTTATAAATCACATCAATAAATTTTCATTATAAATTTTCCCTTTTATTCTCCACTGAATGTTGGAGAAAGAAAATGTATTGTTAAAGCATGTATATTTAATAAGGGGTAAAGTTAAAAACTTATTAAATTTTTAGATAAAGTTAATAAATTTTAAGGTTTTTCTTGATTCTAGTGAGACATGTTGAAAGTAACTTTTAAATAAGATTAGAGGAGTGTGTGTATGTGTGTGTGTGTATATGAGAGTCTCACATCAATTAGGAATCAAGGGAGGAGCTCTATAACATTTGTAGCCCATAAAAGCATCCTGAAGGCTGAGTGGGAGATAATTAAGGAGTTCTACATATTTTAATTATTTCTTTTCTACTTTTTAATTTTTTCTGTGATCATTTATCATGATTGGAGATTTTAAAACAGTGTTATTTATTAATTTTATTATGTGTTTCTAAATTACCTAATCGAGGTAGGGATGTAGTACAACCGGGGAGCCATTTTTCTTTTTCTTTTTTCTTTTTGTTTTGACTCTGCATTTATATTTGTGAATATATTTTGCTCTTTCTAATTATCTATATTTCTCTTGTTCTTTATATTGATTTCATGACTAGCCACCATTAAATCAAATTTATAGGTAATCTTGATGGATTGAGAGGTGAAGAGAGAACTTAAATCTAAAAAATAAACACAAATAACCAGACTAAGGATAGTTCTAAAAATTTATGGTGAGTTAAACTATAACTTCATAGTTTAATCAGTTGATTGGGTATCGTGGGGACGAATTCAACACAAATTAAAAAAGGACTAATAATTTGAGAGAATATTGGAATCCTTTATGAATAACTGTCACAATAATTGTTTAAAGAGTCAATTTAAAGGGTAAAAACTAGCAACCTTTAAGGTGAATCTTAAACCTCCAATGCTTCAAATGATTATGTTTTCCTCATCATTATTTCTCCCTTCTTCTTTTTTTCTTTTACTCTCATCAAATAATTGATTTTATCTATTTTTTTTGAACTACTAATTATTTGCATTAGTAAAAGCGCACCTTCTTTGTGGGTTTGACACTTGGAATATTTCGAATAATTTATTACTAAAATCCCACACACTTCCAAGTTTTCACTTAATAATTAGTATTTTGAATACATAATTATTTACTGGTGTCTCTAAGTACATTTACTAATTTTAAGCTAACCCTATTATAATTAGCACAAAACATCATCAAATTAAAAAAATTTCAAATTCATGTACCAAAGAAAGTGACATAAGATATAATGTGCATTATTATTATATTTATTTTAATCATGCAGCGAAGAATATGTAACAAAACCACCTAAAGATTTACTAAAAATATAATTTAAACTTTATATCTCACAATTCACAAAATATAGCATGACTCAAAATTAAATTTGAACATATATGTCACAAAATATACCATACTAATTACGTACCATGACCTAAAAAGGATCTTGAATTGAATGTGGCAAAAAAATAATAAATAAAGCAAAGTCTTTGGCACCAAACAAAACGGGTAACAAAGCAGATAGACAATTCCGACACTTTAGGCAGATGAAACCCTGCCAAAAGTAAGGAACTTAAGTACATACCAGTACAGGCAGGCGAAAGGCCATTGCTTCAATGGTTATCCTCCCAAAACATTCCCCCCTTCCCTGAAACGAAGAGAAAGCTCATGTTAAAATTTCAAGATTAAGATATCTAATTTTTTGGAAGCAAAATTGATTCCAAGACCATTATAATCACAGAAATCTGATTAGTGTTCTTCAGAATGCTTCATGGTGTTACACAAGGGGCATCAAACACTAATATCATCTCTTTTTTTTTTTTGGTGGGTCCTTTACTGCAGTTTGTATTAATACCTTATGGAAGCCAAAACAAATAAATTTGCAACCAAAATTCTCACTATGAGCAGAAAAATCATTTGGTCAAGAAGCAATTCCCATGTTGTGAAATGATAGAATGTAACACATTTTTTTGTTTCCTACTCAACTTAATAATGCATATTACTAGAAAATACCTGAGAATTCTGAACAAGAACATCAATAGCAGCCAGGTAAGGAGCCACCGTCAAGGTTTTGTTAATAAAGTGAACACGATCCTGAATCTTTTTCTCTACCACATATTTTCGCAGTTCTAGTTCTAATGTTGTATGTGCACCAAAATCACTCCCCACAACTACAGCATGCAGTGCTGGCACCTGTAGTTTCTTCTTCTGGATCAGTTTCAGACTTTCATAGAAGGAACGAAGAAATAGATCCTGCCCTTTACCGCGTGAAACACCTGTAATCATATCATGCCAATTATAAGCTTTTAGCAAAAGGAGACAATATAAATGGAAGGACTCAAGGCATGCACTAAATCTAATTAGAAACTGTAATCTATTACATAATAGAAATTGGTGCAATAGTATCACATCCTGTTTCCACAGCCCTAACTTCAACTCTCTCATTCCACAGTTAGGCTCATTTCATACATAGAATGGGATGAAAAATAACCTGGTGTCCCATTTTTTAAAAAAGTACTAAAGAATGATAGCAGCTGCCGCCTGTTGGTTAATGATTACAAGAGTACAATAGATATTGCCCAAAAATGGGTTCCTTGGTCATATCAAAGGAGTCCAATGCACCCTATGTGAATTGAATTTATGATTGTGTCTAGCTAATATTTTTCAGACCAGTAAAAAATAAGGCTGACAAACAAATACAAGTGATAACTGATAAGGTAAATTTAGAACAAGTTCTGCTAGAAAGAAGTCATTGAATTTATGTTAAACCTTGTTTCTGGCAGGCAAACAACAAATTTGAGTTTCTTTCTGCCATTTTGCTTCTCCTTCTTCCATTTAACAAAAGAAAGGACAAGCAAAAGATGTCAATCAAGCTATGAATTACATTACCATATCAATTGAGTATCAGTAGTAAATATCAAGTAGGAAAGCATACTATTTATGATGGCAAAAAGTATATCATCACTTCTCACTCCCAAAGATTCCCGGACATGCTCACGAAGAACCCTCTTTGCTACACCATCTTCAGCAACTTCCATCAGTTCCTTGCTATTTCCGAGATGCACAACATAAGCTTCAGGCATTTTGATCCTACAGAATGGGACCAGTGCAAGCAAAAAAATAAGATAGATAAAGAAAAGCACAACAATATAGACCACAACATCATTATTACACAAAACATGAAGGGAACTGAATTTAGAATCACGTTGTAAGATACTGGAAAGATACCCTAAACGCTCCCTAGTCCTATTCTTCCATAATTCTGCAGTTACGTGTGAATCAATCATGGCACCTGCAACAAAAGGGAGGTGCTTAACATATTCCACTTTGAAATAATGCCCTCGCATTTCATGAATCCACCATAAAACCTTTGGAAGAACATTGGGAACTTTTTCCTTTAAAACAGCATCCAGCCACTTCCCAGATACAGCAGTATTTAAAATGACCAGATTGGCTTTAAGAGCTGTATCTATAGCCTTTTCACCATCGGCAGGGAAGACCTATCAGAAGTCAAACACAACATAAAAGAGGGGCTTAGAAGGCCTTAACCACTGAGATATAGAATACCATTCATGTCGTTTCTCATTGGTGATTAAGCAAATATTCTAAAAAAGCAATGATTAAGCAAATATTTAAACCCAAGCAAAACCGTAGAGCAATGACAAGCGGAAGGACGAGGAAATAGTGGTCTTTTTTGTCTGTGGCCAAAAAGAAATAGTAATCTACAAAACAAAAAAAGAATGAGTTAAGATCACCTGCACTCCTCTGTCCAACATCTTATTCTCTAAACTGTAAATCACCTCGTCAGGTTCTGCAGGTTTCTGATAAGTGATCCAAACAACGTCAGAACCAACGCCCCTCAACAAAAATGCTAACTCCATTAACAATAGAGGCCCTCCTGCATTTTTTTTTTTTCAAAACGAGGAGAAGAATCCATATTAAGTAAATTGTATTTTTAGTACTGCCAAAATCGAACGTGAAGATGAGATTTCAGTAAGGACCTGAAAGAGAGAGCTCGTGCGAAACCATGAGAACAAGTTTAGACTTCATGAATTCCAAAGGACTTGGTGCCGAATTTCCGACTTGGACGGTAGTGTGAACGGGAGCCTTTCCTTGATCATCTTCTGATCCAAGCTGTTCAGTGCTATTGCCAGTGCTCCTGTTGCAGGAATCAGATGTGGCTCTCAAGAAGACCACCATCACCGTTGAAAGAGAAAACAATACCAATAGTAGCAATGGCCACTTGTTCTTCGGCATTGCCATCAAGGCGTTGGATTGCTTCACCATTATTCTACCACTTGAGCTTTTGAATCCCTAACTTCGCATTTCTAGGGTTCCCGGTTACAATCTGAATCCTCGATACTCAAATAGCATCTGCTCTGCCTCTTGAGTCTGAGTAATGAGAAACGAGAGATTACCGCGCCAGCTGAGGATAGATCGGTGAGAAACAGAAGGGTGGCTCAGGTCCTCAGGACTTCAGCCTTCAGTTTTTAGTTTTTCTTCGTTTTTTTTTTTTGTTGGATAAACTTTACTTTTTCTTTGTTGTTTGCCCCCTTTTTGGGCCGGTGTCAGGGCCTACGGCCACGGCCACGGCCACGGGGATACATATTCCTCTTTTTGGTAAACTGGGCTTCAAATTAACGCTAGTGCAACTACAAAAAACAAAACGTAAAACAGGCGCATCTAACTAACATTCTCCAAGGGCTAAAGTCTTTTAATGCATTATTTTATAGTGTATGGCCAGAAGAATATCAAGGTTATAAACTAAATTGTGAAATGTCCTTTAAAAATATAGAATTATAGATATAACAAATAGATTGTTTCCTCAAATCTCAATAACTTTTTTTCAAAATTTTCACATTATTTTTCCATATCTAATTTTTTTAATGAGTCGAGGGATGTGTCACAGAAAGGTACTAAAAAAAAAATACATAAACCAATGGATCCAACCAAAATGTAGAATATGTAAAACTGGCAAAGTTAAATTCAGACATACGTGAATACCTAATATCAATTCAACTTTTTTTAAAAAAAACTAGAAGGGCATACATCAATAACTTAAGATTAAAAATGAAATCAATCCACGACTTCTCACTTACAAAAAAACTTATGTGACACTAAGCTAACAAGCACAATTTAACTTCAACTTCTAATAATTAGTCCAAGTAAGGAGGCCTTAGCGATAATGGATGATGGAGGATAAGTTCAATTTAGAGGTGAGCAAATAATCCGTGACCTGCCAAACCTGCTCATACCTGGATTAAATGGGCAAGTTAAAACCTACCCGTTGAGAGAGAAAAATGGGCAGGCTAATTTTACAGACTAGCCTGTTTTAATACATACGAGTGGGACGGAGGCTGCCCTTCCCGGCCGTATAGCTCATATATATGCTAAAAAAAACTGTAATTCCCTTTCCTTTACACGCTGTGTTTCTTCACTTTGTCTTTTATCTCCCTTCTCATGTTGCGTTTCAGCCTAAAACCCTCATAACCTCATCTGCTCTCACTCGCCCAGCATCATTAGCGTCGCTCGAGCTCATCTGTCAAGTCTCTAGTCGTTATCATCTCTCCAGTCTCTTGAGTTTGTGCTTCTTCTCTCAGAGTCCATGCTTCTTTGGTTAGTCAGTGGTTTGTGGCCATCTCCAATGCTCTCCTCCTCTTGTCTCGTATTGTCTCCCTCTCATCAGTGCTTTCTATTCACCAACAGATATGAAGTTTTGAACCCTGAAGCCGCTCCCTCTTGAACCAGGTAAGTTTTGAACTCCAGCGTGATAGGGGATGCCTATTAATGATTATATATGCGGGAGAGGGAGAAAATACGGATGCCTGTAATAAGAACTCCCCTTTTTCAATTATGTTATTTATTTTCAAATATATCCCTTTTATTGTTGTATATTATGCGAATCTCCCTCCTTCTCTAGGTAAAATAACATATCCACACTTAACTAGTTCAACCCTCCAGGCCTCCACGTTGGATTCGTCCCTTCCTCCTCCTTTATTAATTATATATATAATTAAAGAAACAACAATATATAACACTGATTCTTGGTGCTTTTTTTTTTCTCTCTCTCAAGCAAGCAAGGTCTCTCTACTTCTGGGATTGCTTGTATGATTGTCTGCAACTTTAAATTCAACTTAATTTTCTCCATGATTCTCTCATTTGTAAACATTCCCAAAATTATTTGTAATGTTTGAGGTTGTTTCCTTTGATGATGACGTTTGAATTGTTATTTGGTAGAATTAGAAGTGTAGCATAATTTAAATTTGAAAAGCAAGTCCTCCTCCTCCTCTTTTTTCTTTAAAAAAGACTATCACAAAACAGGCTGAGCAACCCAAAACCCATATTAACCCACTCAGTCCATTTTTAAATGGCCTATGTACAGGTATGGGTTGGGCCAACTCATTTTGTGCAAAATGGGATGGGCTACGAGTAGTCTTTCAAGCCAGCCCATCTCGCCTATTGCACAGTCCTAGCTCAATTCATATAATTTAGCTAATACAAGGTGTGGGTGGTTTTAATTTTATAATTTTTTCAATGTTGAAGAAAAATTAGAAAATAACATAAGGTAAGAAAATAAATTATATATATAATCTCATTATTTATATTACTAGTTGGGAAAAAATCCAATTTGTATGGCTAGATGCAAATACATATTTACATTGTACTATTCAAAATAATAACATATGCAATAGTGGAAGGATTTGCAAGTACAACTTGTTTTTCTGACTTTTTCTATATTGATTCACTGATCAATGATAGCTCCTCTTTTCATTAAAAAAAAAATAGATATATTCCCCTTTTTCTCTAGAAGAATATATTTGTATAAACATTTTGGTAATTATAAATTTTAACAGCCGCTTCCATGACAAACGAGTCACATTTAAGTGGCACAGAACATGCAACCCCCCCTCCCCCGGGGGGGACCCTTCGTGTTTAGAGGCCACTTTGAAGCGGAAGATGGTTAGCAGAGACTAGTTAAGAGATAAATTCAGATGAAGACGTATAAATTTACATCCTTTCAAAGTTGAAAGGAGACATCCGCACGTTTCACCATTTCTCAGATGTTTTCACTTTCAAATGATTAAGCAAACATGATACAAGAAATGCATATCTACAACTTCGAGGGTCCGCCGAATGCAACTCCCAATCACCAAGGCCATTTACAGATTATAATATAAAGCAAATAGTATGGCTATTTTAAACACTTCAGCGTAATTATTTTGGAGAGTTAAGGTCGGGATGCACATAGTTGCCTCATAGGTGTAAGCAATCTTGCAAAACGGAGGGGCACATGTGCCCTGATAAATGTTCCTTGCGCTGTATATTCCTACATATTACAAGAAAGCAAAACAAAAAACGAAGAAAACCATTATATGGGGGAATGATCTGCAATCTTCAAATTCAAAAGAAAAGCCAAAGTTCACATTGACCATCAGTTGCCAATTGGGAACGGCGAGGGACGTTTACTTACAGATTTCTCAACCATTCCAACTTGATGTATTGTGCTAAGAAGGTCCCCTCTATCAAATGGGAGCAACGCTTCCACCCATACCATGGAATCCTGTTATAGAACAAAAACGTTTTCGCAGCACAAGTAATTAGTTCCAAAGAAATGCACCTCGAGATATCAACAAGTGAAAACTAACAAGGTGGGTTGTATGCAAATATAGACTTCAATTCGGCACCTTCAGTCTTTCTTGAACTGCATTGCAGAATTCAGGTAGGCCATCCCCGTTCAAAGCAGACATGCATACCACATCTTCTCTTTTCTCAGCTTCTTGCCTGATTTTCTGGGGATCACTGGCCTTATCCACCTGCAGTGCATTATATTCTGAAATCAGTTCAAAAGCATTCTGGTTAAATAATTTCCTGATGCTCTTAATCTAAATGATAGCATGAAAACTTAACATTAAAGATACCCTTTTAATCCCTTAATGAAAAATGAGTTAAAGAGTTATTTTTGCCCTTCAACTTTATCCAAAAGATCATTGGGCATCCTGAACATAATAACTATGGATCAATTCTGTCTTTCAACAATAGAATTGCAATAGAATTGCAATCCATGATACCCTTGATGTTATTTCCCCATTATGTGGGTCTCACATCTTTTTTTTTTTAATATTTTTTCTTATAAAATATTAAATAGTAGGTCCCATCGTTTTTTACATTTTCATAATATCAAAAATATTTCTCTCTCTCTCTCTCTCTACCTTCTCTTCTAGCAATCAATTGATGTCCCGTAATGCACATCCTCATCTTTCTCCTCCCTCTCTTCTCTGTCTCCCCCCCACTTCAATGTCAAAAACCAGAAGTAGTGGTGACATGACTGAGAGCTCTTATGGGTGCAGGAAGGGATAATCCTACTGCTGCAGGATGACCAAGTGCCAGGTCTTGAATTCTTGAGAGATTGGAAGTGGGAGGAGATTCCTCCATCAAAGAACAATACTATATTTGTGAACATGTGGGACCACGTGGAGGTGTTGAGCAATGGGATTTACAAGAGCGTGGCGCACAGAGTGATGGCCGACAAGAGCAGAAGCAAACTCTCCACTGCCACCTTCCACAACCCAATTAAGGAGGCCATGATTCCTCCCATCTCTCGTCTCAGCTTGTGTGTGTTCTTCCCTCCCGGCTCCTCCCTGGCGATGCCCTCACCATGCTTTGCCTTGCTCCACCAACCCTTGTCATCCGCTAAAGTTGATAAGCACGCTCTTTCTGAGTTTGTGGGCATACATGAGTTGGGGACCAAGAACTGGTTCAGTGAGGAGTGGGAGAGAAACCACCATAGCTGCCACAATACACTACTGGCAGAAGAACAACACCACTGTCGTCCTCCATAATGTTGGTCCACGATGAGCTAGGGGATGCTGGAGAAGATTCCATAAGTGAGAGATCTAGTTCATCCATACTCCAGGGGTTGCTCTGCCATCACATGTTGCAGAAGATGGTGAGCATGTGCGGAGAGAGGGAGCGAGAGACAGGAAGAGTGGGAAGAAGAGAGATAAGAGAGAAAGGGACGAAGGGGGAGAGAAAATGTGAATATTGTATAAAAAAATTATTAAGAGGGCAGAAAGTGAATACTGTATACTAAAAAAATAAACTATAAGACCCACTAATGCCCAACAAACAAGAATAAGACAGCAGGGTGACGGAAAAAGGAATTTTTAACATTGAGGGACAGATTTGACCTATAGTTGAGTTTAAATTGCTCAATAACCTTTCGAGCCAAGTTGAGGGGAAAAAATAACCCTTAACCCATGAAAAATCATGTTAGTCCCTCCTTTGAATTGATCTGTAAAGGATGTCCAATAACTTACTATTGACAACATAAGGTAACTTGGGTATAATAAATAAACATAATTACTATATAAGGTGGAACAGTATCTAGTCCTTCATACAAGTGAGTGTTCAACTCCCCTTTTACTTGCCACGCCATGTAAAGGATCTAATAATAGGTTCAGAATGTATTGTATTCATACAAGTGTGAGTGTTCAACTCCCCTTTTACTTGCCACGCCATGTAAAGGATCTAATAATAGGTTCAGAATGTATTGTACCTTGTTCCAGACTATCAATCTTGGAATTGAAGACACGTCTAGTTCTGACAGAACTTTGTCCACAGCTTCTATCTGTTGTTCTGACAGGGGATGACTGAACTTCAAAAAAATATTTGATGAGAGATAATAATGATGGTCAACATGATAAGTTCTATTAACATTCTTAATTAATGTATGAAAGTTCCTCCAAACAGTTCTCCTGATATATACCTGATATCAACCACATGCACCAAAAGGGATGACTCAGATATCTCCTCCAGTGTAGCTCTAAAGGCAGCAACCTACAGAAAAGGAAGAAAAATCAACAAAAGCTGTCCGGAATTACTTGATAGTGCGGAATTAGAAATTTATAACAAAAATCTTATTTTGTGATGAATCCTATAAACAATTAATGTAAAGTAGAAACAGCATGATTTCTATCAAACAACTTCAGCAAACGGAACTGTGGCAGATTATCTTATCTTGAAGGGCTTCTTACCAGTGTAGTAGGTAATTTCTGAATAAAACCAACAGTATCTGTGAGGAGAAACTCCTTCCCATTCTTCATCTGGATGAAATTGAATTAACAAAATATAACAAGTTAAAAGAGCTGTAATTTAAACAGCAGAAGACTTTTTTCTTGCATACTAGCTTCTTAAAACATATAAATGATGAATTTCAGCCATCCGATAGTCAAGGAAAGCTCAGCAACAGAGGAAGCTTACTCCTTTGTTTCGTCTCTCTAGGAACTTGTTACACAATCCCATGATAACCCCGCCTCTGTTATTAACCTAAGACTAAGGACACTCATCTGTGTAAGTAACAGCTCCTAAAGGCACTAAAACCACAGGAAGCTGGGGGGAGAAGTACTTATCCCAACCTCAGCTGTAGTTTCAAGGAGACAAAATGTATTTCCAAATAAAGGAGGGGAAAAAATTATCCAGTTATATTTTGACTGACCTGTACCCTCCTTGTAGTTGGATCAAGAGTTGCAAACAATTTATCCTCAGCCAGAACATCTGCTCCTGTTAATTGATTTAAAAGTGTACTCTTACCAGCATTGGTATACCCAACCTACAGTATCATTGAAGTATGTGTCAAACACCAAAACACTTAACCATGACAACGTATTTGAGCAGATATTATCGTGATGTACAAGATGCAAAGCCAAAAATCTTTAACATGAAATGGCTTTTATATAGAGGCAATAAATTACCAAGGATACCACAGGCACAGGCACTGAGATTCGTCTGTTACGGTACTGCTTCCGATGTTTCCTCACAGTTTCTAGCTCTTTCTTAAGGACACCAATCTGTCAAAGAAAAGGCACGGGTGGCTTATAACAGCCAGATTGATGCACAAAGCAAAATTGCAGATTTAAAAAAATCTAAATTAAGCAACCAAACTGTTACTGATCAGATGAGTAACTTGTGTTTATAGAACTCTAGAAAAATAAATAATGCACTAGTTCCTTAAAATGGACCAAATTTCTGTAGATAAGCAAATGACAATAGCAATGATCTGCTTACTTGATTACGCAAAATACGTTTGTCCACTTCTATTTGTTTTTCACCCATTCCCTTCACCTGTCCTCCAGCTTGACGCTCAAGGTGGGTCCACATTTTTGTCAATCGAGGTAACTGGTATTCCATTTGCGCCAATGCAACCTAGAAGGATTATATCATTGTCAGAGAAGCACTTTAAAATTTCCAGCTAAAAACAACTAAAAGCCAAAAAAAAAAAAAACTTAAACACGTCATTGCCTGTAAAGATGCTTCGTGAGTTGCAGCTCGCTGATTAAATATATCAAGGATGAGGGCAGTGCGGTCACAAACTCTCACATCTCCACCAAAAACCTTTTCCAAGTTGCGTAATTGCCTAGAATTGTTCAGGGGAGGAGGGAAGGTTAGTAGTTTTATGAAGCAAGAAGCTCCAAAGCAATCTTTCTTACATGCAATTAGATTATCCAAAAAGTTCTAAAAAGATAATGCATTTTGGTGCAGTTGACTGGCACAATCAGGGCCAAAAAGGAAAACATAAAAGAAGAGATGAAAAAAGAAAAAGAAACAATTATAAGATCATAAAAGTAATGATGCACAGAGGTTTATCCAAAAAAACTGAAAAAATAATGCTGTGCAGAACAATTGGAATCTATGAAATGAATAAAGGGATAGAATATGCAGGCTATAGTGTAGCTAAAGCATGCTGACCACCACCTTAATTTTCAATTGGAAATCCAACAACCTCCAAGTTACCAATGGCCATTCATGACGCAAACCAAGCTTTCAAACAAAATCTCCAGGGCAACATTGGTCCAAGTAGACAGAAAGATTTTGATTCCAAAAACCTCCAGTCAGATACTAACAAGAGTATTAATAATGTTGGATTTTTGCAACTCTGGCATGGTCATTTTGCATAGACAAGGCAACTTCAAAACATATGGAATAGTCAAGTGTTACAAACTACATGATTCTATGCACGAAGGTGCCTTCTGATGATGTGGATGTGAATACACACGCACCAAAATAAAATAGAAAACAAAAGAAAAGAAACACTTACCCAGCTGACAGTTCATCATCAAAGATTACAGTTTCAACATCCAATGCATGAATTGCGCTCTTAATCTCTGAAACCTTGCCAGATCCAATGTATGTTCTGGGGTTTGGCTTAGTGAGCCTGCATTTTAAGAACTGATAATATGTTTTTTTTTTTAATTAAGAAATGGAACCAGACAAATTTCATTTTTCATGCAGCATTTAGCACGCAGGCTTTAAGAAGAATCCTCTAAGTGAGTTAGATGATCACTGCAATGCTTTCCAACAATTTTATGCTCCTCACATAGCGCAAGCATTCCATCATTGGGATGTGGTGTCCTGGGTCAAGTCCCCCAGCAATGGCCAAAACAATAGCAAAAAAGATGGCTTGGAAGGATAAGAAAACAATTGCATATAAGGTAATGAATGCAAATTTGCACGTGAATTATTTCATGAAAATTAAAAGAAAAAAGAAAAATTAGCAATGAAATGCAGCGTAAAAGACAAGAGGCAGAAATTGGGGGGGAAACCCCCATGACAAGAGGCAGCGAAAGAATCTCTTAGTAGGTGAAACATAGTTCTCCACGGTCAGAATCTATAAGATCTCAACTTCAAATTTCCTAAGTAAAGAGTCAGAAAGATTATCTGAATGACCATAAACACTTGTAGTCCTTTGACATGAAAATTATCACCCAAGCATGTTTTATGTTTGCAAAGAGTGCTAACAAACCTATTCTACACGAGGTTATATATTGAATTTAAGCCAATGAACTGCAAAATTATGTTAACAAAATGAACTATAGCCAAATACCAAAAAGAAAATTGACCTATAACATAAATACTTACTTTTGGTAAGTAGAGCCAACAACCATTAATCCAGCCGTGTCAGCTAGCTGGGCCAGTTCCTTGATGGATTCTTCAATGCCAAAGGAATCCTGTGCGTCACCCTTGCACTGGACACCTACTAGGTAGGCTTTTTCTTCAAAAACCTGAAGCAGTAAATAAATAAAATTCAGACAGCGGCAGTTTAGCAAATAGGAAGCGATTGTAGTTTTTATAGCGAATATAGTTTTTACATTGCTGCTTCTTTTCGATTAACATCACTGCTTGCTATAGGACTAATGACTGCACCGAATTCTATCGCTATGATACACAAGAAACATGTTGCATTTCCAGTGCCACCTTTTGTGATTTTCCTTGCCTTTCTAAGAGACAAACTTGCATACTATTATCATTTAAATCAGTCCTCTTAGGGCAAGATAAGGAGCAACTGCACTCTGCATCCACTCAAGTGACAGCAGGCAATAATTTTGTCCAGTGAACTTCAAGGAGGTATTCGACGATTTTTACATTTGATATAATGACTTGTGAGTCTAATATTCCCTTCCTGGTGCATACTGGAGAAATTCACCCATTTATGGGGCTACAATACGAGAGAATCCATGTCATAATGACGACTCTAACAATTAAGCCAATTGCTGAAAACGCAGAGAGAAGCAATGTGAAAGTTTCCGAGGAATGCAAAGAAAAAAAAGTATCTAGTACATCGCGACGGATAAAAACAAATATCTCTCGGAGACCGAATCTTCAAGCGACAAAAATGGAAAAGGAAAACGAAAAATAAGGGATGACGGACCTCCCTTCCATTCCGGATCGTGAACCTATCATCAGAGCTATCCTGTTCTTCTTTCTTCTTCTTAGTTCTAGTCGACCAGCCGGAAGCTTTATCTTCTGGTGTTATGCCGGAATCTCCACTAACTATATCAGACGCTGCCGTTGCTACTTCTTTTTGCTCTTCTTGAACTCGTTCTGCGGTCTCAATCACTGGGTTTTGCAACGAAACGTCGTCGGAGGACGCTAGACCAAGCTCTTGTGATAGAGCAGAGATACTGAGTCCAGATGAAATGCAATTGGATTCCTTCCTAAAACGATTAGGGTTTCGGAGAGAAATGCACGGAACATATCGCTCGGGAATTACAGGCGATGGCCGAACAATCGAACCATAGAGACTGGTGTTCATCATTGACATAGAGACACTCCTTTCTACGCCTTCCCTTGATTTCCCTCAATCTTCACTTATCTCCTCGACGCCCAGCTGCCGAGTTACGGCTCAACTTAAAATATATATATATACACACACACACATATACATATACATATATATTAATGGATTTTTTTATTCGAATGTCGCAAACTTGGCATACCATTGGCCATTGCCAACACCCGTGAGTCGTGAGACGTGGCTCGCCCAAAGTGCCTCTCCGTAATATTTTTTTCCACTAAGACCAGAATAAAATAGGCCCAGGGTTATTTTTTTCTCACAATAGTTATTAATACTCTATACTTAAATATGAATCAAAATTATCCCACGATGTTAAAAATTTTCTCCCCCACTGCTTTATTATTTTCTCATCATTTGTTCACTGTTAGTAAACCTCATGTTCCATTTTTTAATATTTTTTATCATAAAATATTTTGAGTTTATGGTATAAAGTAAAGAGGCAAAAATAATTCTTAATCCAGTATTTTATAATAAAAAAATTAAATATAATGTGAGCTCCACTAATAATGAATAAACAATGAGAAAATGGCAAGGGAGGGAATCTTTAACTTTGATTGATAAAATTGACTTATGATTAAATTTAGGATAATCAATAATCTTTCAAATAAAGTTGAAGGATTAAAAATGACTTTTAACCTCAATAAAATATGCCTTCACTATTCTTCATATCCTTCTACTTCTACATTGATTAATTAAACCACCTATAGACAACATTAACATTGATAACTAGAGTGATCCCATGCATTGTGTCACATCTTGAAATTAATTTAAAGATGTAGATTAATTGATTAGTTGGGTTAATTAATAGTCAATTGTTGGGTTTGGATAGCCATTTAGGTCCACTGGATCCTTTAGAGGGGTAGAATTGGGGTTTACGGACTTTTAAGCCAAATTGAGCCTATAAATTAGGCTTAAGTAAAGCTATTTATTTTGGAATGTTTGCTACGGCGAGCATGACAAAAATTTAAAATCCATAGAACACAATTAGATTTTATTTCATAGGAGAATTTAAGAGTGAGGCCATGAGAAAATGCTTCGGCTTTGCTAGGGTTTCATGTTGGTGAGCTTTGAAAGTGTTTTGAAACTTCTACAATCTTGGATAAGCTTCATTTCTTCTTCTCCTACCTCCTTCTCACTTTATTTTCTTGGTTTACAGCCTCTAGGCAGTAAAGTCTAAATTCATAACTAAGCTACAGCTATCAAGGTAATTTAAATGGATTGTTTGTGGGTTATTTAATATTTCTAACATTGAGTGTGAGTAATTGAAAGCATTTAATGCACTAAAGAAAAGTTTATAGTTAACCATAATGTTAAAAAAATGAATTTAAACTAATGAGAGTTAATGAATGTGATTGTTAGGCTCAATAGGAGTTAAATAAACTAATTGAAGTTAGTTTTGAACTCAAACATGCTTAATCATACTCAGCGATGGATTATACCATAATTATGATTAAGAATTAATTAATGATGATTAATTATTAATGTTGTTTGTGAATGTAGTTGTAGACTGGTTATGCCTGAAGCGTACGTTTGAAATAATTCCCTTAAGAAATCTAAATTTAACTTTTAAAGTGATAGCCCAAGAATAAAGATAATCAAAAAATTTATAATTGTATATAATAGTGCTTACAATTGCATTTGAATTATTACGTGGCTTTGTGCCATTAAATGTTAGCATGGCTTTTGCCACGAGATAATGAATGCATGAGCGTTAAATGAACGTGTGTCCATAGAACTACTGCAATATCCCAATTTAACTTTAAAATAGTCAACTAGAGTTAATAAAAATAGGAAAAAAATTTAAAGTAGTTGAATTAATTAGGAGATGTTTATCGGGCTTAACTTAGGCTATAATTTAAGGTTAAAGTTATATATATATATATATATATAAGTACATAAGGGAAAAAAAAGAGATATTGATAAATAAAACATGCTCCTTCCATTAAAAAATATAAAATATTTTTAAAGAGTTAAATGTTAAAAAATATAAAATATTTTTAATCTTTTAAAGTATAATTATTTTTTTTTTTAAATATTTCTATTGATAATGACTTTACATTATTTGTATAATGTTTAATAAGAGTAAATATAAAAAAAATATAATTAATTTAAAAATAAATAATTACTTTATTAAAAGATAAAATTTAATTAAAAATATTTTATATTTTTAAATAAAGAAAGTACGTATATAATTGTAAACGGAATAAAAAAAGGGCGCCACAGGTTTCGGTAAGGGGGGGATTGATATTATATATATATATATATATATAATGATGAATAAGGGAAACCGGCAGGAAGCATTTAGTTTCAGTTGATGCATATAGTATATATACATGGATGTAAACGATGATGATAAAGCAAAAGGACGTGGACCCACATGATTATCCAACATAAAGGCTAAAACACATTCTGCCCCTTTCTTCTTTTACTTCGTCCTGTTCCTTCTGATTCGCTCTAGAGACGCAACGCGCGCGAGGAAGAGGCCAAGAGTGAGGGAGAGCTGGGAACCAAGTCCACAATAGGATATTTTGGGAACGATTTAAAGCTTTTTAAAGTTATTTTAGTGCTCTAAATTTTTCTTCTTAGCTTTCTATCCTCTTTAGCGGTGCGAAATACAAAATAAAAAGTTTGAAAGGGGACAAATTTATATTGAATAAATTTAAATATTGAGATTATTAGTGATATAATAAATATTTTAAAGTATTATTTTATTAATAGAATTTAAATTTGAGACTTACTCCTTCCGTTTAAAAATGTAAGGCATTTTTTACCGAATCTCACTTCCAAATAAAGTAGTAGCTACTTTCCAATTAACCCTATTTTTTTATATTTACCTATACTAAATACCCTACAATAAATATAAAATCACTATCAATAGGGGTACTTTAAAAAAAAAAGCAATGATTACATATTAAAAGACTACCTTATATTTTTTAACGGAGGGAGTATGAGTTAAACTCTAGACTCCTATGAATAATTTTTTGATGAATCTTAAAATATAAGTTAATTTGTTAAGATTTAGATAATTACTTGAAATAAAAAACAGATTATTATGGTTATAGATTGATAATTCCAAGCTTGAAACCAAATTTGCAATTTTTGGATATTTTTTAGTGCAAATTTATGAAATAAAAAGAAAAAGTTTGATAATAAAAAATGATTTGAAGGTTGATTTTAGTTTATTGGTGTTTATTGATGATTAAAAGAGGAGTGAGAAATTTTTTTGAGGATTCTAACTTTAGACTAGTATTTAATAATGGGATTATAAATTATGTTATACTCTCTAATTCTATGATTAGAGTTGCTTGATTGGTTTCAATAATTGAAGCTAATATTTATAATTTATAAATAATATATTATGTATAGATTATATTGTTGGTGAATGTTGTGGCGGAAGTGAAATTATAAGAAATAATTTATTAAAAAATCATGAGGCAACCATGCTTTAATTTGTTATTAGTGTTGATTCATATTAATTGTATGATTATTAAGAAAATTGTGAATTGTTGTTGATAAGTTATTTTATCATGTTTATGAAAAAATTATAAAATTGAGAATATATAGTATTTTTGCCAAGTGAGATGTCATATTGTAATATTATTGAAAATAAAAAAATTGTGACAATTATAATGTTGTATAAATAATTGTACAATGTTGATATATAATTGTTTAATTTTTATGGGAGGTGTTTGGGAGACTTGTTGTATTTTTGTGTCACATTATTCGCCTTATTGGAAGCCCAATAGTTGACTTATAAAAGCTCGAGCAAATCTACCTTTAGTCAAGTAATATAGTACCAAGTAAGGGCTATAGCTTGATGTTAATAGAAGGAGATAAGGATAATTCTTTGTCATGCATTATAATATCTCTTATATTTTTGTTGGAATTATATAATCGTGATTTCTCTACTTAGCAAGCTTACATATAATTGTTTGCATACATTATTATAAGTTGGCATTAATTATTGAGACTTTTAAGTTTCATTATATGATTAATAATTTTTAGGAGAAGAGCTACAAGTGACATGTGGAGGAGCCACTGAGGCTTAATAGTATAGATTCACTATCTTTTTTAGGTTTTTTTTATTTTTAATGATATTATATTGATAATGTTAGGGCTTTTTATTTATTGATCATTATATGAATATAATGATATAATCCCTTCAAGGTATGTCTACTTTTGAGTACACTTTAGATGATTGTAACATTAATGCTTGTTTTTGTTAGATGGTTTAAAATGACATAATTATGAAAATATATAATTGGCTTGTTTTGAAAATTGTTTGAGCTATCTATTTCAATTTGTTGGTTTATGTTTTGTACTTGTTGGAAGCATAGGGTTGAAAAGATATTATTTTAGCTTAATGGTATGTGGAAGGTTAAAAATTTACTTAAAATGTTGTATAGTGCGAACCTAAACCAATTGTCAGCTGCTATTATATTTAATTTATTGATATAAATTGTGTTTTGGTAGCTATAACCCAATTATAATTGTAGATGTATATCAGCATTATCAAAAATGGTTTTGTTTTATTTGAAAAGATTGGCAGATGGTTATGAGATTTTAAAATGTATAACTATTTCTATTTTCCTTAATATATTGTGTTTATCATGTTCTCAACTTTAAAAGAGATCTTTTAGGCCTTTCACATTTATTTTGTTTTTAATTGCTTAGGATCCTAAATTCTGAAAATGATAATTTTAAAAGTTTAAATTCTATTGACCTTATTTATATAACTTAATCTTTTCTATCATGATAGGCATTTTAAAAGGTGAAAATATTTCATAAAATTATGTTTTATCATTTATTATCATGGTAGTATTTTAAATTACATAATTGTTTCAAAAATATATATAAGATTGGTTGATTTTTGTTTACCATGGTAGACATTTTTTACCATGATTGAGTTAATTGTTTTGAAAAACTTATAAGGTGTTACAACTACTCGTTGGATGATTAATTTTATTAAGACATTGTGCAATGTGAAATATGAACTATAGGCCTAGAGTGGCCAAGAATCAATGATGTGGTGCATGTGTTAAAGTGTATGC